TAGCAACAGCAATGCCCGAAGGTATCTCCTTTTCTTCTTTTAAAACTAGCATGCCTTAATTGCAGATGTTGTGGATGAGAACATAAAGGATAATAAGTGATAAAGGATAAAGGATAATAAGTGAATTTCTAAAGTAACGGATAAAAGCTCATTCAGTATCTTTAAAGATCCCATTTCAGAGACAACCATGTTATACCCCAGACTGGGAGAGGAGAAAGGCTCTCTGTGGTCACCTGTGAATTGCCTTCATGCAAAACTCACCAGTCTCAGGCAGAATGATTCGACTGCCTAAAATGCTTATTTTTATAAATCTATATATGTAAATACACAACATCTTTCTTTGCAAAATTGCAAATATAAGTAACTTTGTCAATTTGGTATAAAATCCACTGCCAACCAATCCCAAAATATTTTTTTTAGACTTCTGTGTTGCAGTGGCGATATTCCTTAGGCCCTGATTCAAAGTGTAATGAAACAATCTTTCTGAACCTTCCTTTTAGCTCCCTGGTTGTAAGCAGTGCAGTGCTTTCTCTCAATACTATGAAAATATATTCAAAATATATAATAAAAATATTTTCTTGTCTCAAAATACATAAAAATCGTATCAAAATTATTGAATCAACAGAAAAAGAGCAATGCCAAACCTTGTACATTTTTAAAAAGCTCTTTTCAAAAGGATTTGTTTATAGATGAAGAGAAAAATGCAGTTTGTTTTTTTTTTTTTAACTCAAAGCAATACCTCTCTGCCCATCAAATTATAATCTATTTTCAGTGCTCTGAACCAAAGTAGTAGGGGCCAAGCTTTGAAGCAGAGCCACAAAGCATTTGGCCACTTTCAGAGCAAGGCAGGAGGATTGACCAGGGGACTGTGGCTGAGTGAATAATGCTAATGCCATTAAGATCCCCTGTATTTTTTGCCTTCTTTAGTGAGGGGATATAAAAATGTGGAGTTGTCCACTTTGAAAAGCCTTTGTGTGGTCACTTCTCCTTTGGCCCTGCAGGGCTGCTGTTTTTCCCTCAGGCTGCCTGCCCCCAGGCCAAACAAGCCCAGTTCCCTCAGCCCTCCTCACATGGCCAGAGCTGGTCCTTCTGCTGGTTCTCCACTGAATTCACCCCAGTTCATGGGAATACTCCCTGTACTGAGGGGCCCAAAGCAGGCCCACTGTTTTAGATGTGCTCTAATAAATGATGGCTAAGGAAGGGGTTAATGGATTCAGAGCACATTAAGATGCTACAAAAGGCATTGAGAAGTGACTACAGTGACATGCTCTGTGTTTTGAATGTGGATTAAGATGCTTTCTTCAAACAAGTGGTTCAGTCAGACCACCTTTGCCAACTGAGAGTAGTTCAGACCACTCAGGCAGAACGATTCTTGTCTCATAGCTGCAGTAAGGAGTGGTGCTATTTGCTGTGAGCAGAGCACTTTCTCTGCTTTCCTTTCCTTCTTCCTACTTTTGCTGAGGATGTTTGAGTATGTTCTGAGAGCACTTCCTCAGCAAAGTCCCAGAAAGCAGAAGATGGAAGCCACACATGCCATTCTGAGCCCCGAGGGGACACTCTCAGGTGTGCTCTGAGCAGCACCCTGGGATGTGCAGAGCCGTTTTCCTGCTGGGATTCCCTGGGATGTGCAGACTGGGATGTGCAGAGCTGTTTTCCTGGTCAGGTTCCCTGGGGTGGGCAGACTGGGATGTGCAGAGCTGATTTTTCCTGCTCGGGTTCCCTGGGATGTACAGACTGGGATGTGCAGAGCTGTTTTTTCCTGTTGGGGTTCCCTGGGATGTGCAGACTGGGATGTGCAGAGCTCTTTTCCTGCTCAGGGTCCTTGGGCTGCTGAGGGGCACCAGAGGGACTTGCAGGGAGCTCAGCAGAGGCTCCTGGTGAGCCTGGGCAACTTCTCCCTGGGCACCTGGGGGAGCACAGGTTGCCCTGGCGTGTATATGCAAGCAGGTGGATGACCCCCATTCCAGGAGAGGCCCCAGCTGACCCAAGGGAGGCTCTTAAGGAGCTGTAAGTCGCAGATTCCCCCAGGTGCATGCCAGGCCTGTATGGACAAAGCTGAAAAATGGGGCCTTTTGCAGACCACTGAAGTCTAGTTCTAAGCACTTGCTTCTCAGACCAAGAATTTTGGTTTCAGTCTTTTCCTGAGCATTCCAATGTAAAGCACAAAAATCTGATGTTTTTCATTCGAAGATGCCAAGAGCCCAGGAGACATACTCCATAAGATTTATATGGAGGCTGTTTTCAGCTCTTTTATAAAAGCATATTTTCCAATGCAATGGCTTGTAATCAGCACTAGGACTTCAGGCTGCTTAATTCACTGTGATTTGATTAATGCTTTTTAGAGGCAGACTTGATGTTGTGGAATGATTAGACCAAGTCATCCAGCAGTTTTGGAAAGCCCAGCTTACTCATCTGTAATTTTATTTCATTATGGTAATTTTAGAAATTAGATTTTTAAAATAAATTTCCAAGTTGACAGTATTAAAATTTCTTTATTTTTCTGTGTGGTATATTTTATAATTTTCTTTTCCTGGCTTCACTGCTTCATATTGCATTCCATTGCCACAATGGAATACCTGCAGGGAAAAAAATTGGCTTTCTGTGTTAAGAAGGCAAGGAAGGTGTCCTAAACAAGAGCATAACAAACACACCACAATTATTTATTTCATTATTTTGTTGCTTGTGAAATGGTCAGCCATGAAGTACTACCTGCTGCTGAATGAGTGGAATGTATTCCAGAGTTTGGAAGTAATTTTTTGCTTTTTTGTAGAATATTTGTTTTTACACTGGGGGCCCAGTACAGATACTGAAAGATGATTTGGAGGAATAGACACGTGTCTGTGTCCTAAGCTGAATTGAAATCGGGTGACAATTAAGATGACCAACAAGTGCTGTTGAAATCTCAGGAACAACCGAGCTGAGTGTGTAAAATCCCTTCAAACCACACTTGATGTGTTTATGTGTTGAGATTTAAGGAAATGCAGGTAAGTGAGGGTTCGAGGACATCACCAAGCTGTCTGCACTTGCATAAACTTATGTTCCACAATGTATAAGAAAAAATAAAAGTTACTGGGTACTTTGTGTGGACATCCACAGTTGGACATCTGCATTTTCTTGGAAACACCTGAGCCCAGTTGCAGGAGCTTTAAATTGTGGAATTTATGAAATGCTGTGTTTCCAGGAAGCCTTTTCTTTGAAAAATATAACTGCCTAATGGAATAATTACACTGCCTACATGTTACTGTGCTCTTTTTGTGTGCAATGCCCCAAAATGTTTGGATTTGCTATGTCAAAGTGCCCTTGCTTTAGTTAAACATGAGGATTAGTCACTCATTGGGGTTCACCCGGGGCATCCCGTGTGATGCAGTTCAGGGTTGCAAACCAGAAATTGTGTGGAACAGTTCTCCACAAAGTGCCAGGTATTCATCCTCTAAGTTTGGCTATGCAAGGTGTCTCAAAACCAGGTTTTGGTTTCTATGAAATGTCAACTGCATGTGGCTGTGATGCATCATATGCTAATGAGCAGGTCAGGGGCTTGGCAAGCTGTTTTTCTTTGGAAGGCAGGGCTGCATGAGGCTGTTGGTGGTTGGTGTTTGTTCAATGAAGTTTTCTGTCTTCCAATTTATTTACTTTCAATTTTGGTTTCAGTTCATTTAACCTTCAGAAAACGTTTGTGCTGTCTGCTCTTACAAAAGGAAGGCTCCCTCCAGCAGCCCCTTGCTGCATTTATCTTTTGCTGTGGAGCTACCATGTCTGCAATAATAAATGTATCCGTTTGAAGTAGAAGTGATTAAGTGCTCGTTGAAATGTCTTCTGGAACAAACATTAGCTTTGCTTTCAAAGGGCGGATACTGCACCAGATAGCACTTAACCTGGCCAAGGACAAAGTGTTATGTTTAAACACTGCTTTCTGCTTGCTTCTGTGAAACAGCAAGGATATCTGCATTCAAGCACTTTCATTTCTTAATACATCAAAACAAGGATCTTTCCAGAACTGAGAGTACCATTGTTGTAACTATTGTTCTGCTTTTAAAACAGCCCACTCATCCTACCAGTTGGCTGTGATTTATTCCTTTGAACTTTTTAATCTGAAAGATACAACAGAAAAAAATAATTGGGCAGACATTGATATTTTCACACCAGACTTCTGTCTCTAGAGGCACAGGTTAATCCAGCTGTACATTTCTACTAAAGCTGAATTTGGCCATCCTGCAGTAATCCCTGGTTGTCCAGCTCAGAAATTCATATGTGATTTGACACTAATGTTGTCATCCTGGAAGTATGTTGTAACTGTGGCTGTTGATTTTCAAAGCTGGTGGGTATCAGGGAAACCGTAAAGATCCTCACTTTCCCGCCATCTGGGAGAAAGCTCAAGGGCAAAAGATGAAGGGTGAGAAGAGGCGAGTTCCCTGCCCAAACCTGTAGAATGCTGGTACCTCTGTCACACAGAGCACGGCCCAGGTCCTTGTAGCAGTGTTTGAGAACCTGTCAGGTTGCACAGGACTTTCTAAGTACTGATGGGATAAATTAATACTGGCAATCATTGGTAATAACTCATCAATCCAGTGACTAAGGGCTGTATATTTTCTTAATCTGAAGCTAATAGGGATCCCCAGTAATTATGCCAGTACATCCTTTGTGTATCCTACATGAAATGTTGTGTTTTCAACCGTAGATACAAACATTAAGAAGCTAATATTATATGTTAACAAGTGTGAAAATACAGATCAAATACCAAATTGTCTGATTTTCTATTTTCTATCCATGTCTTGTTTTCAGAGTGTGTTTTAAGAAGCCTCTATTTATCACATAAATTTTGCAAATATGCCAAGAGTATTTATCAACATTGTTTTGGCTTCCATTAATGTTAGAGACATAGAAATTGCAGTAAAATTATTTCCTATAAGTGAAATTGGGAAACAACAACAATTTAAAAAATACATAGGACACAAAAAATCAGTCTCCATAAGAGCTAACTAATGCTTTGCTGTATCTCCCAGATCTGTGACAAGGAGTGGCACTACTACGTGGTCAACGTGGAGTTCCCCGTGGTGACGCTGTACATGGACGGGACAACATACGAGCCCTACCTGGTGACCAACGACTGGCCCATCCACCCCTCCCACATCGCCATGCAGCTCACAGTGGGGGCTTGCTGGCAAGGTAAAACCACACCAGCTAACAGGCAGCACAGTCAGGAGGTCAGGCCAAGAACCAGTCTTACTTGTCTTGCTGACTGCATAGGGATTGATGGTATAAAATCAGGTGTAAATGCAGAGTTGTTAATGAAGTCCAAGGATAAAATGGACAGGACATTAACAGGCTTAGCATTTTCATCACCAGAAGAAGTATTGGGTACAGTTTGTCTATTCAGTATGAAAGATTGTCTTCTTTATCTTTTGTCTTCACTTCTTTTAACTGTTTCCCTTGTTCTCCAGCCTTAAGCAAACTATTAGATATTAATCTCTTTTCAGTCCCTGCCCTCAGATTTCTTTTACAACTCATGGCCCAGTCCTGTGCTCTTGAAGTTGGATATACTCACCAGCAATTCCAGTAATTTATTTGACTCACCCTATTATATACTAGAGGTAAAAGTGAGAATAAAATAAATCCAAAAGTCCAACCCCGAGCCATACCTGTATGGACGTTTGCTTAAATATTACGTTTTTCTGTTTTCTGCCCTTTATAATCCCATTCTTCTCATTCTTTCTACCTGGTTCTTAGCACTTTCTTTCTCCGTTCTCTGCCTTACACCTGAAGTGCTCCTTTTTTTCTGCTTGTCTGTTTTCGTAAAGTTGTCTTCATTAATCCTTCATTAATGCTTTTTTCCACTTAAAGTATGTTGGGAAGGAAACTATAATTATGAAAAAATGCTATAACATAGATTGTGTTTCTTCTTCACTCTTTCATATGGTCTCACTTTCTCCATTATCACCTTGTTTGCCAATTTGATCTCTTTTAATTTGCATAATTTGGACATTTTATGCATGGCAGGGCTATTCAGTGTAAATAGTACTCGAAGCAAATCCAGCTGTTAGATTATGAGTGGGGTAAAGATCCAATCTTTACTTTGATGATAACATGCAAAATGAAGCTGCACTAACCCTAAAAACAAAGTTTGGGAAGTTTACAATACTGATAATTATTGGAGGTGTGATAAGCTAGTCGGCATTGCACTAATCCCATGTACTTGGAAAGGTATAGACTGTTTCTTGTCTAGCTGGTGCTTGCATGGGCTGATTTTTTTTGTTATGCAGTATTGGTGCACTACTTTTAGAGCAAAGTTCCAGAGTTAGCAAATGCAAATGTCATTTGTAAATTTAGTTCTTTCCAGACATGAGCAAATGCCATTGAGGCTGTGAATAACCATGGAGTACTGCCTTCTGAAAAATCACCATTTCTCTGTAGCTGTGCTAAAAAATAAAAATATTTTAATCCCTTGCTTCATATTTATATGAGGTTCTTCCGCATAGGTCAACATAAATGTTTTTGTGCATTATGTATATTACTTCTGCCCCTTATATTCTTTCATTCCCACTTATTCACACTTTTGTTACTCTCTAAAAGCACTTTTCAGTGTTTTGAGGTTTTTTTCCCTGCAAGTCTTGCTATTGCTGGGAATCCACTCCCCTCAGCCCTCACCTGAATCTCACGTTAACCATCTGCAGGTGCCACGTCTGGGGCCTGTGGATCAGTTCTGGTGTCTGTGCAACAAGCCCTGCCTGAGCAAAAGCTGTGCCAGCTTTGCCACGGCCCTGCATCCATCTGCACAGGAGGCAGCTGAGAGCAACAACAGTAATCTTGTTCCCTCTGCACTTTGCCTCTTTGTCTCAAATTGGGAAGAGAAGGAATTAGGGGAAACTGCTCATATAGGCTCACTATACATTCAGACCACGGACTGTATTTCATGTTTAAGCTGTTAAACAAGTAAAAAGTTGCAATTATTTTCAAACATTTTTATTTTTGCGTGGGATAATTTGATGGCTTAATTTATAACCATTCAGAATAAGGTTCTTCTTCCTTTTCGGTGAAACACCTGATTTAAACTACTGAAATAGTACCTATAACTGCCATTAATATTTAGTGCTGTATTACTTTATTGCTCATTTAATAGTGAGAGAATTTGAGCTCCTCAAGAGTAGAAACAAATTTTCCAGCTCTTGAAAATGCTGAGATTTAGTAATACAGTGTGCTAAAGAGTCTGATAAATTATCATGTATCAGGCAAAAATATGAACTTCTAATGGTTATGTGAAACAAAATTTCAAGATACTGCTTTTGACAAAGCTTATCATTTGGTACATTTGTTTTGATCACCTCAAACTATTTTAAATGAATGGTATAGAAAATCACTTTATTAATAGGATTCAGCACTGTATTTCAGTCTGTAAAATAGTAATCAATACAGAAAAGCAATCTATTCTAGTCAAAACATTAGTATTCAAAGTTTGTGTATTTCAAGAAAAAGGGGCCTTATCAAATAAATATTTTAACTATAAATACTTTCTGTGAAACTGTTACTAAGTCTACTTAGGCTAATACATTTTAGCCAGTAACAATAGTCTAAACCTCTACATTTTCAAAGCATTATAAAGCTGCTTTACAACATTCTGTGATCTATTTCAGTAAAATACACAGTGAATTTGGTGTCATAAGCCATTCAGGAGTGTCCTTGTTAAGAGGATATGAAGAGTTTCCAGCTCTGGTGTGCTAAGACTACTTCCTTTCTTTTCATCAAAGCACTGGCAGAAAGGAACACTGCTCTAACATCTTCCTTCAGGAAGGGCAAGACCTTCTGTTCTGTCTTTACTAAACCACTTTACAGTTCTGAGTACACAGCATCCGTCTGTCAGAGTCAAATTATTTGGAAAACAGACTCAACTCAGACAAGTAAATAATTGAGAAGAAATAATATTCCTTTTTTCTTCCCACACTGACTGATTTGCTGACAGCCAAAAGTCATTCTGGCTGTGGGGCAGCTGAAGGACTGGCAGGGAGCAGGAAGAGTGTATTTAGAAGACAGTGAAAAATCAAGAACAAGAATTGCAATTTGCTCTGTTAGCACTAAGAGGAAAGTCTGGTACTGCTATGAGAGATTTTCCCTCTTGTAGATGAAAATGTTCAGTTCTGGTCTAGAAACTAGGAATTGTTCTGCTGCGTCTTTAGGAGCCTGAGTGTCCTGTGATACTGTGACTGAGCCCTGATCTTTCCATCACTTACACTCATCCTCATCCTGGGGTTCTGTAGAGTGCTTAACCTCCTCCTTGTCTGTCTCAGAGTTATATCCTACAGGAATCTTGGACATGGAAAATTCTTTAAGATTATTATTACCTATTATTAGTATTTCAATGCCTGAGTAACTGTCTTCTGACTTTTATAGCCTTGTTTATAGCATCCATTATGAAAAGGTAGTTGTTTTTTATTTCTATCGTCAGCTGCTCAAGTGAATTATGAGCAGTGTAAGATCAGTGCTGTTCTCCTGATCATAATATGAAAACAAACCAAATGTGCAATTCCTCAGCCTTACATGACAAATTCAAATTTTAACCTATGATGTGCTCACTGTTCCTTGGTATGTCTGTGGTGTAAGAAGATCTCTCCTAAATCTTTACCCTTTCCCTGGCAGTGTAAAAATCTTGTCTGATTTGTTTGTTCCTGATTTTATGCAAAATTTCTTTAAATAATATGAGTTGAGGGCTAGGACTCTCCAAAAAGGAGGGAAAATTAGCCTTTTCCTGAAGGGCGGATTCTTGGAGACAAGCAGGGAGTGAAGATGGTTGAAAAAGCAGAAAGCCAGCCTTTAAAAGTGATAGAAAAGACCCTTCCCAGGGTCTGTCAGGCACTGGGTCAAGTTTACTGCAGCCCAGGAAATACAGTTACATAAAACCAAGCCTGGGGAATGGTTCCCAGCTCTAATGACACTCTGCATATGACAAAAGGCGCATGATTTGTTCTGGCATAATCAAGATGATCTTTATATACTAAAAATTAGGTACACTGTATGTTACTGTGGTATAATTTCCCTTTTTTAATCTAAAAACCTTGGTTCTTTCTTCAGGACTCTTACTAAAGGAAGGTGTAAGCAGAGCTCCCTCATTGATTTAGGGTCCTTCACAATGGTTAGCCTAGAGTGAATTCTTTTTTGTGCAGCTGATGTTCAGTACTGCTGTACTTGAGTGGGGGTGGTTTATTTGAGGGTGGGAGTTTAAGCATTATCCGTAGCCTAAAGTGTTGATGTGGGTTTGATGACCCAGGAGCAGTGACAGGTAGCACCTAACCCCAGCAGAATGCCAACTTTCATACATGGAAAATCCCAAATTAGTCCTTACCTGGGATTTCAGTGACGTGAGGCCTGGGAAAAGGTAATGCTGACTACAGAGCTAAGCAAACTGGGCTCTTAGTGAGGGCAGAAACAAACACCTGGTACAGCTGTTCCTGGAATTAGCCCTTTGTGTACCCTGGTGAAGTTTGACAGCTTTCTCTGCAGGTACGTAAGGTTAATTATATAACTGAATCTTAACATCTTTAAAATTTCCTTCACATCACTGTCCTCACCAATGATTGTCAAGGGTGTGATTTTGATATAGGTCAGGTTATTTAAGGCCAAAGTGCTGGTCTGTCTCTAATGGTGAAAGAAATTTTCAGGCAGAATTACTCTCTCAGGATATCTAAAGAACAAAATTGACTTGCTTGCACATCTGCCTCCTGGAGCAAAAGAGACACCAAAAAGAGCAGGAGGGAAGTGGCCCTGTGTCTGAACTGCTTCTTCCCTGAATGGGTATTAAAGCAGACATGGTCCATGGGGACAGGAGAGAACCCCCCAAGCCTCAGCTTTGGTTCTCATTACTAATATTTTTCCTCTTTAGCATAAAAATACTTTCCGATTTGACTTTTTACCTTGAGTCTCAAGGTCTTTTCAAATAATAAAGAGGTGCAGCAAGGCAGGAGAGTCACCTGTACTCTGTAGGAATAAAGTGCACTAGATGATTTTTCCTCAAAAAAGTCATCATCAAAAAAATCTGTATCACAGCAAGAATAGAATCAGAATTCATGATCTTCTGTTCTTATTCTCCCTTTTAGGTTTTAACATCCTGTTTCATTCTTCTGAGCAAGGCAAACAAATCGTTAGCTTGTCCTGGAGCGCACTTTGCAAGACCTTACCCC